GTAAGTTATAGCTGCATGAGCAATGTTAGGTCTATAATCACTATAAGCACAATGCACATATAGCTAGGAAGAACAAGGCACAGGACACTGTCAATTGCAGTTGTTCGAAAAACACAATATGCCCACTTCAGAAACAATGCATGACTAAGGACATAGTATACAAAGCAACAGTCACAACAAGCAACCCTAACACGATCATGAATTATATTGGCATGACATCAACTCCATTTAAAGAGCGTTTGGCTAACCATAACTATACTTTCGAGCATAAAGAGCACTCAAACAAAACTGAACTTTCGAAATATATTTTGACATTGAAAGATAGCAAGAAAGATTTTAATATCAATTGGCAAATTTTGAAACGCGCTATTTCGTATACGGGAGGATCAAAACGATGTAATTTATGTTTAGAAGAAAAATTTTGTATTTTGAAAGAAAACCAAAACTGTTTACTCAATAAAAGAATGGAATTATATCTACGTGCAGACATAGGAAGAAATTTCGCGTAAACAACGCAAACAATACACTCCCACAACTCGATTAGGCATTTCAGCGTAGACAACGCAAACAATAGATGAATGCATGCTTTGTTTCACCCACACACCCCCACATTCCGGCCAAAACACATATAAGCAGTCCTATTTTCGAAACTTGTCATACCGCCTGATGATTCTTTATACTGATGAAACAGACTGTTGCGGAATTTTGAGGTAAGCGAAATTATATATATATATATATATATATATATATATATATATATATATATATATATATATATATATATATAACCTTTTGTAGGGTTAAAATGGTACACCGTGGAATATTTTAAAATTATCGCGCTAAATATTGCCTGAAGTAGGTTGGAATACTAAGCAACACACGTCAAGTCCATTTCATTGGTTTGTATTACCCCCATAACTGGGAATATTATCACATTCTTAGTGCATTGGATGTGGTACACCGTTAATTGTGACACTGAAAAATTGAGCATTGATTTACCACACCTGGAAAACTCGTTTCAAAATGCATAATTCACATTTATATAGTTGTCACTTAATATTCTAAGTATATGCAGTGAATATACCAGAAACGTAACTATATTGAATTTATTGTCCCTTGGTGTTCTACTGGATATCACACGCATTCGTTTATGTATAGACTTAATGTATAACATATAGATGATAAGTAGGTCGTAAGCAATGCGCATAAACGAAATACATGGCAAGGACATGTTTAAAGAGCGAAATATAAAAGAAAAGAATTTAATTTCGACTCATTTCAGACAATCCTGGACAAAACATCTGCAACAGTTCGAATTACTTGTCAAAATGTCGTAATATTATCGTAAATTTAGAAAACCTCCCCATTTCCCCCACCATTCAATGTTGATTGTATTCGTAGAATACGGATAAAATGTCCAACATTGTTTTGGGGGGCGGAGGGGGGCAAACGAGTAAATTATTCCGGTCTAAAAGGTAAAAAAAGCCACAAAGGAATGTTTTAATAGAGTGTCGCAGATGGTTTTGTCCAGGATTGTAGCTCACTCAAGTGTTATTTATTATATATTCAGACAAACATGCCATGTTTTCAGTTTAGTTTTCACACTGGGCACTATTCCATTTTTCAGTTGGAAGCGCCACATTCTTATTCCCCTATCCACGAGCGATCTGACGAAAAAAATAGCGATTCAAGCCTTTTTGAACAGAGGCGACGCTGAGTTGTCAATAGTTGTCTATTGCAATTTTCTGCATTTTTGAAGGGAAATTCTTACTAAGAGAAAAACAAAAATTGTGCAGTTGGAAGAAAATTTTAAACTTCTTGAGAATCTTAATATTTCTGCGAATTTTAATTCTATTTTTCCTCTCCCGTTTTTACCTCCTCACTTAGGGTCACTTTCTTCCCTCACATCCCTGACTTTTTCCATCCCAGAGAGGGGGCAAATGGTAATTATATGCCCCTCTGCATGGGATTTTTTGGTTTGACGTAACTCGCATACCCCTTTTTATTATATATTATTTGCAAACAACAATAATGTTTGTGTTCTTATTTAATTGTTCTTGTTCTAATTTATACAATTATATAATAAAGATATTTGCAGTGACCTTTCAGGGCATGCCATCCACTATATATCTTATATACGTCGTTTAAAGTTTGAACTAATTAATATGCATATCAATCTTAAGCCCAGTATGGCGCGGAATCCACCTACTTTATGCCATAAATCAAGGCATAAAATATGTCATATGCTTATTTGCTTTTATATAACACCTCATTGTGATCACGTGATATGGAACAAAATATCTCATATTTAATTCCGGCAATAAAATATCGATAACATTGAATTATTTACTCGTGAAAAAAAATATGAAAAATTCCATCTTTCACCTCATGAAAATAGTTTTACCATTGCAATCATAAACATTCATTATTTGTATAATATGTATAAATATACGCTTTTAAACTCTTACTGCATATTAATTGTAACATCTGAAAATCCGCTTACCCCTCTTCTTTTCGTAAATTCATTTTGAATAAGCTTATTGCGATACTTTTTACATTTCTCTTCATAATTCGATCCTTCTCCCTCTTCGTCTGAACATCTACAGTAGAAACATTATTACAATAGAAACAGTCGAATGTACAGTCGAATCTTTCCAATACGAACACCAAAAGGACACAGCGAAGTGTTCGCATTGGATGTGTGCATGTCTGATTCAGGTAATGGCTACAAGGGATAGACGAAAGGGACCTAGGTATTCAAGACAGTTCAAAATTTAATCTCAGAGTTCACTTTAGTTTACGGTTAATGTTACAGTTAGGATTGAGTTAGGGTTAGCCATAGACGGATTTTCTGGGGGTTGCAGGGGGTTGCGCACACTCCCTCAGAAATTTAAATGTTCATTGAATTAAATGACAGTATTGTGATTGCAACAAGGATTTTGAAGTAAATAGGACCAAAAATCTCAAAATGTTCCACAACCTTGCCGCCAGACTGTGCCCGCAGACCCCTGCTACAGCTTGCTCGACGGCGTTTCGTGCCCCACACTCAATTCCCCCGCAAATTGTTGGCACCCCCCTCAAACAACAATGATGTCACTTTTAACACTCCACTGACCGTTTTAAGTTCGGAAGACTAGCAAAGAATGACATTCAGTTGACTGAACTGAAGTCGACGAATCGTTTAAGTTTGCTAATGAAACGTTCTCTTCATTGCTGCAAATATTAAACTTCACTTTGTACTTTTTGAGGTTTAACGCTTGGTTTAGTTTTGACACTTATGGTGCATTAATACAATGAACTATCGTGACATTTTCTTGGAAAAGGACACTACGACTAACTTGGTATCATCACCATGTTTTCCTCCACCATAGAGATTGTAATCAACTTGACCAAAGTTTGAACATGTGTATGTCTTGGAATAGCCATTGTGACCTTTATTGGCAAACACTCCACCGCGCAATTGTTCAATCATAACTTCGACCTCCTTGGGCTTACGACAGAAATCACATCCCTTGTTACACTAACAAAAACAAAAGTATTATTTTAGTGGTGTAGTTGGAAGCAAGGAGAACATTCTTAATTCTGTGCCCAGTTTAACTAACGGATCACCTTAATATGCTTCACTCAGTGGTACGAGACGCAAATGCTTGCGGCATCATGCGTTGTTTGCAAATATCCCTTTAGCTTGTATTGTAAACAGCGCGTATACCAAACTTGAAGTTCAAAGCAGAATTCTCACCTCAGGTTTTTTATCTCCAAAGTATTCAGACATGAATGCATGTCGACATCTACAAAAGATTATTACGTACTCTTATATAAGGGGCATTATCTACGTAACGTGTCAATAAACGCGGGTCGTTTTCGAAATACTAAAGATTAATTAATATGAAAATAAGATGACACACTATAGTAGGGTTATAATTGTCACGACCCAAATTCAAAATGACTTTTCACTTTAAATTATCAGGACTACGAAAAGCTATTTGATCTGAACATTGGTTTTGGATGTTTAAGTTTGGTATTGTCCGGATTTTAAAAAGGTTTTAAATTCTACCCTGCCTATGACATTCAGATCCAGTGTATTTATATATCAAATAAACTGAAATTACTGAACAAAAACAGATTATCGATAAAGTGAAAGATAATTTTCATTGGTGTTTTAAAGGTTCTTTCCCACCAGATAAACTGGAGTCACCAACCGGAGGGGACCAGCTAAACCAAGAGTTATGAAGTGGAGAGTTATCTTGTAGAGTTATGATTTCGGAGAGTTATGTTCGAACCACGCCCACTTTCCCCAATGACCACACCCAATTTCTTAACTCTCCCGATGTTTCCTTGAACTAACATGAGAGAGTTATGTTTGACGTAACTCTCTCTCGTTAACATTATGAAGATGTTAGAGAGTTATCATTTTTTATAACTCTCCGCGTTCTCGATTGTGGCAATGCCAATGAGGAGAGTTATGTCCATCAGTTTTTTGAAAAACACTTCCACATTTTAGTAAATTATTGTGAATTTACTTTTTTCTCACGTTTCAGCTTTAACATTTCACGCTAGTAGAAACTAGTAGTACTTTAGTACTTACCAAGTGAGGTGAGTAAATAAATTATTACATGCTCACTTGGATTATCTACAAAGCCCAGCATTCAGATACAGCTCTCGTATTAGATAGAACCAGAAAACCTTTCAAATGTAATGCCCTATTGGCTGATCTGTAAAGTATTTCCAAAACCTGAATTGCTGAACGATTCAATTTTCTTAATTTTTTCAATTTACTTGCAACTATGCTTACCGTATTTACTGCCAATATGCAAGCATCTCATTGTTTTGACCGAGTCAAGTTGTACTATTTCAGTCCTGTTTGGACGCACGCTATTGACACGCTACAAACCGAAATACCAAAATATAAGATGAAAATCCGAAGAAACAAGCTTTACTAAGGTTTTCTCAAAAAACTGACATACCTCTCTTCATTGCCACAATCGTGAACGCGGAGAGTTATAAAAAATGATAACTCTCTATTCTCTAACATCTTCATAATGTTAACGAGAGAGAGTTACGTCAAACATAACTCTCTCATGTTAGTTCAAGGAAACGTCGGAAGAGTTAAGAAATTGGGTGTGGTCATTGGGGGAAGTGGGCGTGGTTCGAACATAACTCTCCGAAATCATAACTCTCCGAGATAACTCTCCACTTGGTAACTCTCCCTTTAGTCATACCCCAACCGGAGGGTCTAAACTGATCAAGATCGCGTTTTAGACAATAAAATCTTGAACGTAACTTGCACCCAACCCCGAACCTAACCTGGTTCCCAACTGGGTTCTTCTTAATTTTGTTGTTGAGACATTAGAAAGAAATGACCAATTTCTACATTTAAACGATTTGTAGTCATACCTTGCTTCTTCACAATATTCCACCAAAGCTTTAAAACTTTTCATTGATACTTTTTCTTTCATTGACTTATCTCTCTTTTTCTACAATTCAGAAGATAATTTTTATACTGAAAGACTGCCTACAGATAATTTGTAAATCCACTGAGTTTTATATCCGTACTTTGAGATCTTTCCGTAACAGAAATAAAATCTGCTCTCTTTCATATCTATATCGAAAGAGATTGAAATTTCACATCAAAAATTATACAAAATCTAATTGGTAAAAGGACGAAAGGAAAAACTGCAAATATATTATCCAATGAGACACATTTATTGTATGTTTACCTATGTAACAAACTCTGTTTCGTGCTACTAGATAATGCATGCTGTATACATTTACGATCATTGTGTGATAGGAGATTAGGGAGATACTCTAATTAAAGTGGAATAGAGGAAAACACTAAGTACAGTTTATAAATAGAGGACCTCGAATAATACATTCGACAATATGATTTCTTTCCATCACGTCCAGCGCGACCACTTTCTTGATAATATCTTTCAACTGACTGCGGGATTTTCCAATGAACAACAAACCTGAAACAAATCAAATATATATAACTACATTACAAAACCATCCTCAGACCTTTCCCAATAAATTTTCCAAACTTGCCTAATGCTTAAGGTTTTTTTACAACCAGAGAATCCTAATCGCTCAGATGAAATTCATGCACGGCAATATTTTACTACGTTCTCTTACCTCACAGAAGATTTATCGACACCCATACCAAAACTAACTGTTGCTGCTATAACTGATATTACGCCATCCATCCACTCTTGTTGAATATCATTACGCAGTTTTGAGTTTAGCCCTATCATTAAGACATTAAAAAATTATAAAGGGAAACAAAGACGGACCAAAAATTTCTTCGAGGAGCGGTGGAGGACCGATCAAAAAATGAACGAAACGTCCCCAAACTCATTAGCTAGGTTTAAATTTGACATCTACTACCACTACCGCCACCATTAAGGGGATCATTAACCAATCAGATGCGTTTAATCTACCCGATTAACCAATCACATACGTACTTATCAGGAAAATGTAGTGGTGGTGGAAGCAATTATTCGTGTTTGATGTATTTTAACTAGTACAAACATTTTCTGAATATAAGATTGCACGAACCTGCATGATAAGCTTTTGTCTTTATACCACTATCTGATAATTTAATTGCCATGTTTTCACAATTCTCTTTTGTATGACAGTAAATAATACCACAGTCCTACACAAAACAAAATTAACCCAATACACATAAGGTGGTTGCCAGTTATAGAACAGAGATTTAGAGATGATCTATATGACATTCAATGTTTCTATCAGAGATGAGATACAGTAAACCACATTCTATAGTACTGTATTGTTAAATATCATGTTCCAAAACACGACATGTCTGCCAGTGCAAAACGTCCGTAACGTCCCGTTAAGGAATGTTTGTATATCCTTAATATTAGTTAATAGTGACCTGTAAATGGTCGTGGATAGTAATATCCCCATTTTTGCGGAAGTATACAAAGGCAATGACGTGAATCCTACTTCATTATGCAACTGGGCCTACACTTTTGAGACCCCAAATCCTGCACGTCACTACGCCTCATTAATTATTCAATCCAGGCCTACTTCTATGGGACTCCTGATCCAATAATGACAGCTATTCCAGATTAATAATGACACTATTCCAGATGAATATTGATATGTCATAGGTTCACGAACCTTTCCAAAGATTCCCCGACTACGTTCCAATTACATCGATACGTTATTAAAGTATCGACGTCCATAATTTATTCAGGAAGATGAAATATATACTGGTTTCAGGCGTTAAGATTTAATACAAAATAGCAACACAATAAAATCAACACGTTCGAAGCTTAGGGACCGGTCATTAAATATGGCA